GTAAATTTGCACATAATATACAGTACCTGTACATACAAAACTGTCTATTGTAATATACCTTTTTATTTTTTTTTATTATCTGTGTTTTTTGTTCTGTCACTGTCATTCTGTTACACTGTGGAAGCTTCTGTCACGAAAACAAATTCCTCGTATGTGTAAACATACCTGGCAATAAAGCTCATTCTGATTCTGATTCTGATTCTAACTCCATTTTATTACAATAATTCTGTCAAAATGACAATGTTTTCAGGAAGTGAACTCAAATCAATGTCACGTAAATGTCAACTGTTTTTAATAGGGGACAAGCTTAGAATGTCAACCCTGTTACCATATTTTTAAATAGGAAATGATTACAAAAAATAAGAAATTTTAGTTTTGTCAGTATTAAATTACTAAGAACCATAGAATGTCACTGCGGTTAGCACAAAGCAGGTAATGACTAATTTAACTATAAAACTGTCAACCCTGTTACCATCATAGCTCCCTTTTATTAAAATAATTATTTCAAAATTACATCATCATACTATCAGGAAGTAAACTCTGCAAAGTCAAATAAATGTCTCCTGTTTTACTATTACAAAGCCAGTGTAGAATGTCAACCCTGTTACCATGATTTGAAATAGTAAATGATTACTAAAAATGAAAATTTTATTTTATGTCAGTATTAAATTATATTAAGAACTCTGGAGTATTTATAATGTTTAACACAAAACAAGTAATGTCTAACTGTAAAACTGTTCAAATCATAACTCTTTTATTACAATAATTAAATCAAAATTACATCATGCTTTTAGGAAGTGAACTCTGTAAAGGCAAGTAAATGGCTCCTGTTTTGTCAATATGGGACAAGCTTACAGTGTCAACCCTGTTACCATCATTTTCTAATGATACATTTCTATTTATGTCAGGATTCAAATCTTTTTCTACAAATAACCTGGGAGTATCATCATGGTAAGAACAGAGCAGGAAATATCTAACTGAAAACTGTAAAATGCCAACCCTGTTACCTTTTTGAGGGTCTATATTAATTTAGATTTAGATGCCATAATGCAGTTTATCAACACTGAGAAACATTCTGTGTTTGAAAGAACGTTTACATTTTTAAATAAATGTGCCCTTTATATTTTAAAATTGTAAGTGTAAGATCATCTTGCATACAGTGACCCCAAAAAATATTTGGACACTTGAGAGACACAAAAATGTAATGTAAAAATGTGTAAGAAATATCAAAACCAAAATATCCAACCCAATGGAATTTATTTTGAAGAAAGATAATAGACTTTTAAAGTAATATATTTCACAAAAAGAAGACTGATTGATTCCAGGACACAAAAAGAATACATCCATTTTCATACATCCAATAAAAATCACCATGGGTCCAGTTGTTTCAAAGTAACTGTAAAGTTTGTTTGCAAACACAGATTGGTTTGATATTTTGTGACCTAATGCAATGAAAGTTTAAGTGTTACTTAAGTGTCCAAATACATTTGGGGTCTGCTGTACAAAACCCTTCACTCAAATAGCACAGGACGGCTAAGCCGAGATATCACTGCAAGCCATGCGCATTCAGTTATTCCTCCAGCGCTGCAGGATTCATGTCTTCATAGTTAAACAAGGAATGTAGATAGCGAAAAAAAAATCACATTTTAACAAAATCCCCAAATTTATGTATCTGAAGACAGCCATTATTCTTGGAATTTCCATTCGAAATAACTTCTGTCATCTATTTAGTTCTTTTTAATTATGGACCTTTCTTCCATCCTTCATGCAGTTAACCCTTGCTTTTCGGTGTTCATTATATTGCATAAAATGTGTGTAAAAAAATGCCAATTCCATGTGCTTAATTGGCTCAGCCTCCAAGATGACTACCCTTGTCAGACATCCCACAGCTTTAAGCAATTTACCCCCATTTTCCATATTCTCAGCCTCTCAAGACTTGGAGAAATACCAGTGGACTTAAAGTTGCCTCCAATCATAGCCTTGAGACCAGGTGAGAGACTGGGAGCTGAAGGGTTATTCCGCCTCCCTCCCATCCTGGACGCACCCCACCATCCCCTCCACCCCAACAGCTCTGACCTGCGTAGATGGCTATAAAAGAGACAGTGACTCTGGCGCATCTCAGCATCACCTGCGCTTTCATCCTGAAGAAGGAAAACCAGGCAAAGAAAAGAACAACGATGCATTCGCTACTAAAGGTCACTGTTCTGCTGTTTTGCGTTCAGGCTGGAGAAGGACACTGGCTTAGAACGCTACTGGGTAAGACTAGGGGTCATGACCTTTGGGGAGAGGGCAACTAAATCTCTGAAGATTTTTTTCTTCTGTAGAACACAAAAGATGTAAGAAAATGTATCAGTGGGTTTTTTGTCCATACAATGAAGTCAGTGGGGTCCAAACAATATTGGACCCCACTGACTTCCATTGTATGGACAAAAACAGTTAAATATGCACCAAAATATCTTCTTGAGTCCTACTAACATAAATTTTACCTCAAATCATGAGACTTTGCTGGAAAGAGTTGGGCTTCTACTTTTCTAAGTTATCAGATGATTTTCGTATGGCAGACAAACTGGCGGAAAATATTTACTAAAAATTTAACTAAAAACACTTATGACTCGTATGATTTGAGCCAGTAAGCAACCTCCGACAACACCTTATCAACCACATATCGATGCAATAAAAAAACATCCAAACATATTAACAACCATTTATCAACAGTCTGGCAACCTCTTACAACATTGTTTTGCACAAACAGAATGCAAAATTTTATTTATTTTTTGCTCATTCTTTTTCAGACACGGACCTCCGTGATGAAGAACGTAGAGGAGGTGATGGTGAGGCAAAGGAGGGTTCAGGGAGGCAGTTGGAAAGGGCGATTCGGTTGCCCCGCAGCGCTGAGTCCCCATGTGCTCTGCACTCCATCCTGCTGCAGGTACGAGACCTCAGGTTGGGCTATGACTCGGACGAGACAGTGCTATTTAAGTACTGCAGTGGGACCTGTCCTCGCCTCGCCTCCAACCACGACCTCACGTTCACCAACCTCCTGCAAAGCGGCATCCTTCAATACACCGGCCACTGGCACCATCAGCCATGTTGTCGCCCCACACACCACGAAGACATAGCCTTTCTCGACAACCACCATCGCTGGCACAAAGTGGAGAAACTCTCCGCTGCTGCGTGCGTCTGTATGGGCTAGAGACGATGGTGGCCAGCCGAAATCTGGCTACATAAAGACTGTCTGTTGGTTTAGAGACTGTACAAAGTGCCTTGAAGTAAAATAAGGGCTGTTTAAGGTACGTTAATTCAGGAAGTAACAATATGTATGTATTAAAATGTATCAAGATGTGTATGTCGCTTTCTCTGATGACATCAGCTAATATTGTGTTTGAGAATGTCAAAACGTTCAGTTTTGGTTAATGACAACACAATGACGTGTTTGAGTAGCCAATTCTGAGTCAAGATTGATCCGACGAATTGTCCATCTGAACCAAAAATGGAAGATATTTATGTGTTAATAAATTATTTATTTATTTGAAAACCATTTTTACTACCCAGTAAATTATTGTTAATCTTTATTTTTCTTCTTGTAAATATGTACAGTTCTGATTAAATATACAAACAGAAGTTGTTTGTTTGGTTAACTAACTATACTCTGATTACAATAATGAACTGTATATAAACCTGTGAGCAATAGCTATTAAGATATTAAAAAAATATAACTATTTGCAATTTAAAAAAATAAAAGTATATTTTTGATATTTTATTAAGCTTTTTTATTAACATACAAAATATGTATAACAATCAAACTGATACAAAATAGTGATTCGCACTTCATCTTCAATGAGTCCTGCTCATGTGTTTGGTGTTCAACACACACTACTCAGCTTAGGTCTTCCACAGCTGCATCCTCTGGCTCCGCCCCCCACACCTGAACATGCCCCTCCATAGAAGTCAAAAGGCGGGGCTCCGTTGGATGAAAGGACAGTGATTGGACGACAGCTTTCCCAACAGGCAGCTTTAAAGTCAGGGAGCCCTACAAGTAGAGATTACAGGATGACAGCTTTATTGCTCATATTTAACTTGACTTTTTGTCACTGTATTTTCTCTGTTGGTCATGTGACTTATTCTGCCCACCTCCACTAGATCCCAGAAGTAAACATGGCCATCTTCTGAACAGCTCAGAACATGTGTGTCTTTATCAGACAGACAGCAGTCAAGCTTATAGCCTTTATTGACATGACCGGAGTACCTGTGAAGGGACACCATAGACACACACATTATAATACATTAATGTAGTGTATTATTTTATTGTTCCAAATAACAAACATTTTAACATGAATTACATTGTTTTAGAAAAGTATTTATTTTTCAGTTTGAAATATAAATTTATTTTACTGTTACATTTAACTAAACATTTCAAAATAAACGGCTTTAAATACGCATGTTAATTTGAAAAGTGATTTATTTATTTTACTGTCATGTTTAAATACACTTTTTCAAAATAAGTATATAACACGGTTTTAAATAAGTACATTTATTTGTTAAAGTGATTTATTAATTTTGCTGTTTTAACTATGCTTTTAAGCATTAATAAAATAAACAGTTTTAAATATACATAATTATTTGTTAATTTGAAAAATGATTTATTAATTCATTTTACTGGCATGTTTCACTATGTTTTAAAGATAAATTAAATAAAACTTAAATTTGCGTATTTATTTGTTATTTTTAAAAATGATTTATTTTACTGTCATGTTTAGATTTTGTAAAGCATATTTTTTGTAATTTTGAAAAGTTATTACATTTAACCTGTTTTTAACAAATTAAATCATTTTAAAAGTCTACTGTTACTTTTAAATGTTTTAAATGTACATATTTATTTGTCATAGTGATGTATCTACATTCATTATTTTTAAATGGCACTCAAATTTCTCCATATGTTGGACCTGTGGCAACTAGTATTGCTAATTTTAAAACTAGTTTTAATGTATTTATGTAGTTGATTGATCTGTGTTGTACATACTCCCCCAGCATCTCCCCTGAGCTTTTGTCCAGCAGGCGCACCGTAGAGTCCAAACTAGAGCTAAGCGTGCACTGACCATCCCGACTGAAACACACACAAGTGATGGGACCTGTGCAGCAAAAAATTCACACAACAGATGCGTGTTAAGACATCACGCAGTGCAAAAACCGTGTTCTCATTCCCTCATGTGTGATATAACTCACTTCCAATGAAATCAACATGAAGCTGCCCCATTCGTAGATCATATCGCCTCACTCTTCCATCCACAGACCTGATATACAACACAATACAGTCACTTCTACAAATTCAAACCTCAGATTACTTATATTCCAACATCATATTTTTAGTTTGGTTCTGACCCAATCAAAAGCTCATGCTCTGACACTTTCAGGCTGCTTATGCCATCCTGAGCCTCGTCCAGGATCTGGATCGGCTCATACCGCCTGGATCTAGTGTCCCAACACCGAACAGTCCCATCAATGGAGCCTGAAACATAAAGAAATAGTGAGATTGAGATTCGGCCATCATTACTCCCATATGATTAAAGCCAAGTCTGACTCACCTGACAGCATCACAGTAGCCTCCTCATTAAACTGCACACAGTTTACTTTCTAGGGAACGAGCACAAGACATTTTTAGTGAAATCGCCTATTTAAAATGTATTATATATATTTACAATAATATACTGCAATAGAGATATTTGTCTTAAGCCGGGCTCACACTGTGCGATTTTTAATAGTCCTTTGCGATTGTTGCTTGCCACACTATATGAAAATGATCCCCATGTCACACTGTAGGATCAGTTGTCATAATGTCAGACTGTACGACAGTCAAGACGCGACAAAAACGGACGTACACAAGAAGGCTTGTTTTACGTCATCAATCCGTGACCCGTGTTCTCTCGCTATAATGGTAGCAAGCAAACAAAAGCAATATGTAGCGTTAGTTTTGTTAATTACATGCCTTGATAATAAAAACCGGAAAAAAAAAACAAGATGACGTGTGTGGAGCAAGTCAAGGCTGGACAAAAGAGGACTTTATGGACTTCCGGTCCTACAGAGCGAACTTGAGGTAATTTTGTTATTCGAGTTTAAACATCCTGCCCCTTAAATAAACTATTTTGAAAAAAAACTTTTTGTACTGTCCACCTGACTCATTTTGACAGTTTAAAGTTGCCGCACTAATTGCGTTATAAGGTTCAGCGCCCCTATTGGTTCTTTGGTTTGACAGTCGTCATAGGAGAAGTCACACTGCAGGAAAGTGTCTGAAATCTTCTGACACTGCCAGAATTTAATCAGAGGAAAAAATTGATTGCAACGACCATTAATCGGCTGTCGGTGAACATGTAAAACCAGCAATCAAAGACAACAGATTTTAGCCTAAAATTATAGAAATCTTTTAGGATTTCCAAAATTTGTCTCAGACAACCAAATCGTGGCCAAAATCGCAGTGTGAGCCGGGCTTTCTTGGCGGGAAACTGCAACGGTAATGGTCTCACCCCGGCGTGCCCGCGAAGCTTGCGGGTCACCTGACCAGACGCCACATCCCACAGAATGACGGTTTTATCCGAGCTGCAGGAGCACAGCTGACTGTTGTCATAAGAACTGCGGAAAGTAAGTGAAATTAAGCAAACCAAATACAACAGCGATGGTATTTCAGTATAATGTAACGCAGAAACATACCTGTCCACGTCCAGCACTTCATATCCGTGGCCGGTGTAAGTCTTCAGCAGAGTCCCGCGACTCATACTCCACAGCTTCAGAGATTTGTCACTGCCGCAGGTCAGCACATAATTCCCATCAGCTGGAGGAACGTGTAAAATATAGAAACATGAACAATTTCATTGTATATTCAGGTCAAGGTCTTTGTAGTGTCATAATGCAGGTATGAAACAGCAGCATCACGTGGTAACTGTTACTCTTCTCAGCGCTAGTCAGGAAGAACCCATTAACATTCGTTAGTGATTAGCAGAGAGAGGGAGGGATGGGGGGGACTTAAACATTTTATAAGTCTATATATACTCTTTTAGGTTGAAAATGTTTAATGAGAACTGCTAGTAACATTTTTCATTTAATAATACTATGTGCGGTAATGGATATGGATAATATTATAATGTGGATAATAATGTTAATAATATGGCCTTACCGTTGAAGCGCACGGCTCTCACGGCGCCTTGCTGACACTCTATAGTCCGCAGAAGATGCTGCGGCAACTGAGGCGCTTGAGGACGCGGCTGCGGAAACGCCATAACTATTTCCACAGCTTCAGATATATACCAATAATAGGCATAATATGTACATATGAATCGGTAACACTACGACAAGCTCAGAACTACTCCACAAACTGCATGAAAACAGCGTTTTCTTCCGCGGAATGTGTTGAAGCGATACGGGACTCGATATCGCCATCTGATGTTTCGGAGGACTTGCGAAAGTTCCCCTAAATCTTGATTAAATAGCACCCCAAGTCATTTTTGTTTGCATAATTTGTAACTTTTCTTCAGGATGCCATTGTGTTGATTTATTGTGGAGGTTTAGGCCTACATATTATTATTGTTTAGTTTCATGCTTTTCATCATAACCAGATAGTGCATTTGATGGAAAATGCATCTACATTTACACTAAAAAAAATATTTATAAATTAATTTTTATCAAACCCTATTCTGCATCAGAAACCAGATATGTTGTGCATGCCTAAGTATTTTTCTATATAATAATTATCGGAAATAAAAGGTTATTTTCACATTCTATTAGTGCTGGGCGGTATGACCAAAAATTTATATCACGGTATTTT